ACCAGGTGGATTTTGGCCTGGAGCTGCTTGTTTGAGGAAAGGAGCTGGGAAGTGCTCAGGAGCAGCTTCTCGCGTCTGTCCTAGTGCAGGCCTTGCTGCGGGAGCTGTGGTGGACATGGCAAGGGCAGCCTCTACAGCCCAGAGCCTGCAGTGCACTCTGCTGGGGCTCTGGGATGTGTGTCCTGGCCTTGGGGCTGCAGGGAGGGCAGGATGCTGCAGTGAAACCCCTCAAACAGCAGCAGGGCACCCTCAGAGCTGGGACCCACAAATTCTGCACTGCTTCTGCTAATTCCCCAAAAAGTGATCCCTTCTGCCCTTCCTTCCATGCCCTCCCCATTGGGATAAACTGCTCCTCAATGGGGTCTGCCAGGAACTGCTCTGCTTCTTCAGCTGAGACTTGAACAGAGAAAGTGCAGTGGTGTCCCCTGGGAGGATGTGACATGAGATAGGAACTAAAGCTCATCTTGTTTGGAGAAGCATGCACACCCAAAATAAACTCCTCAGCTGGCTCCTGGCAGTGCAGGCTGACAGAAAATGGCATTTTCCCCAGGTTTAACCAAGTTAATTTGTGCAGGATCCTGTGTCTCACCAAGATCAGAACTCGGTGTAAACCAGCTGTGCAGAAAACTGGAATGTTAGCTTTGTACCTTTCCACATGACTGTTCCCTCTGATGGCAATTTCCCTGCAATTAAATAAGGAATAACAGCTTTCATGGCATAAAAAAGGCATTTGAAGGAAGTGCCTTGAAATGAGGCACGTCTGAGAGAAACCATACACAAACTGATGGAAGGGGGCACTCTTCCTTTGCTGCTGGCTTTGCCAAAGAGAAACAAGTCCTTTTTTAACCCTTGCAATCTCAGTGTCAGTCACTGCTCCTGAGGTCTCACAGGTCTCTGATGCTGTTCTGAACCTGGAAAATTGCATGTAGGGTCATCAGCAAGAGCTGATGTCCCCCAAGGCCAAGGCTGGATGGTCTGTGTGGCCTTTCCTGTGTGCCAAGGACATGCTGCAGCATCAAGCTGGGCTATATCCTATTGACACACTGCCCACTCCAAGAAGCACACTGATTTTTCTATTTTTGCCCTCTAGAAAAATCCTTGTTGGTTATTTTGCTGCCAGACTGGTTAAAAATTCCAGCAGGTTTAAACAGCTCAAACTTGGATGGTTATTCCCCCATTTATTATTATTATTATTATTATTATTATTATTATTATTATTATTATTATTATTATTATTGTCTCCTCCTTCTCCTCCTTCTTCTCCTTCTTTTATTACTATTATTGTTATAATCTTAGAGATTTTTTTGGTGCCCTCAATGTTACTGCCCGAAATGACTCATTTAGAGCATCTTTCATAGTTTAGGGATTAACAGTCTGACTAATGTCACAGTTTACTGAGTAACCCAGTCTGCCTCCTCACCTTTGATAGCAGACCGTGGTATTACAGGTAGAATTTCCTGCTTCCTTCCCTTTCAGGACCAGATTTCATCATGTTTGGACTGTGGAACAAAGATTATGCAAGGCTAGGCACATACCCCATTGTGTTTTCCTTTTGGGAAGGGCATTTTCCTGTGTGTGGGATAAACAAATTTTATTGTAGCAGCAAGGCCAAGCTGTCCTTCCTCAAATCTGAGGTTTGCTGCTGGAGATGTGTGTGTCTGAGTAAGCCTGTGAAACCAAATGGGGCTTTTTTTGTTAGGGTCAGGATTAAATGTGGGAGATGGTATTTTTTGTTCAGATTCAGATGTTTGTTAGAACTTATTTATATTGCAGTTTTATAAACTGTGCGTTCTACAGCACTTCACTCTAATAAACTAAAAAATGGAGACCTCTCTCTTTACAAGGCTTTTCAGGGATAAACTGTCTAATTTAAAATTAGACAGTTTACCCTTAAAAAATAAAAAATGACACTTAAATTATTTTTAATTTTAACTTAATAACTAACTATCTGTGGCCCACAATGTGGACTCTTTAATCTAATTACATAATACTGCTTAAACTTGTGAAGAAGAAGGACTAGCTTCTGTTTTAAAACTCCTATCTTGTTTTATGTGTATTCTATCTTATTTTAAATATCTTACTATATTCTAAAACTTTAAACACTAAATTTTCTACTATGTGATATTACACACTTCTATTCAAAAATGGAGACCTGTCTCTCTCTTTACGAGGCTTTTTAAGGATAAACTGTCTAATTAAGAAATGACACTACAATTATTTTTACTTTTGACTTAATAACTATCTGTGGCATGCAATGTGGACTTTTTTCCCTAATTACATAATACTGCTTAAACTTATGAAGAAGAAGGACTGGCTTCCGTTTTTAAACTTCTATCTTGTTTTATGGGTATTCTATCTTGTTTTATGTATATTCTGTCTTGTTTTATGTATGTTCCATCTTGTTTTAAGTATATTCTATCTATATTGTTTTATACATATTCTATCTTGTTTTATATATCTTACCATATTCTGAAATGCCAAACTGTTTTCGACTATGTGATATTACACACTTCTATTCAAAAATGGAGACCTATCTCTTTCTTTACAAGGTTTTTTAAGGATTAGCTGTCTAATTAAGAAATGACACTTCAATTATTTTAACTTAATAACTATCTGTAGCCTGCAATGGGGACTTTTTTTTCTAATTATAAAATACTGCTTAAACTTGTGAAGAAGAAGGACTAGATTCTGTTTTAAAACTTCTATCTTGCTTTATGTATACTCTATCTTGCTTTATGTATATTCTATCTTGCTTTATGTATATTCTATCTTGTTTCATATATCTTACTATATTCTAAGACTTTAAACACTAAGTTTTCTACTATGTGATATTACACCCTTCTATTCAAACTACACACCAATGATTTCAGTTATACGATTTAATTTTGGAAGTCTTCTCTACAGCCTTAGGTTAAATGTAGTGTTCTTTTGGGGGGCAGTGCCTGCCAGCACACAAAGTCTCAGATTCCCAGTTTCCAGGGAATTCCAGCAGCCATCTCTGTGGCCATCCCAGTGATGCTGTTGTCCCCTGTGTTGCAGAGAAGGGGGAGTTCCTTGCTGTGGACCTGGGGGGCTCCCAGCTCCGTGCCCACCAGGTGAGGGTGTCTGATGATGGCAAGCAGAGCAGCCAGCTGGAGAGCAAGTTCTACCCCACACCCAAGGAGGTCACCCAGGGCAATGGAGCTGAGGTGGGACACTGATGCTGTGCTGTTTCTGTTATATTTTCTGAAAAATCCTCTTCACCAGGATTTCTTCTTCCGGGAAGATGAGGAGCCTCAGCTTCTCCATGTTTTGCTGCTCTGGAATGTGGTCTAGAGATTGTTTATCCAAACATGTGAATTGTTTTTAATTAATGACCAATCACCATCAGCTGTGTTGGACTCTGAGGAGTCAGTCACAAGCTTTCATTATCATTCTCATTAAACCTTCTGATAGATCCTTTCTTTTTCTTTAGGATAGTTTTAGTATAGCATTATAATACAATACAATATAATATCAGCCTTCTGAGAACATAGAGTCAGATTCTCATCTCTCAGCTCATCCTAGAAACCCTCACAAACACCACACTGTGCTGCTGCTGCACCTGCCTGTGGGACACTGCCCAACTGTCCTCTCTTCCTGCAGCTCTTTGATTACATTGCTGACTGTCTGTCAGACTTCATGGACACCAGAAACCTGAAGCAGAAGAAGTTGCCTCTTGGCTTTACATTTTCTTTTCCATGCAAACAGACCAAGCTGGATGAGGTAAGGTGCATAAGAAATGCTCTTGTCGAGCTGAGCTCCTTGCAGAGTCTGGAGCAGCTGCTGAGTGCAGGTGCTGCCCTGTGGCTTTTATCTGGGGTCATGTTTAAATGGCTCTCTGAAGAAGGCAGGGATGACTTTTAGTGTTTAACTAGACCTGACTATCCTTCAGTGATTCATTTCTCATCTCAAGGCAGCCGCATCTTTAAGCTAAAGCTACCCTATTGCTCAGTCAGTACCCAATTCCACAGGAGCCATGTGCCCCTGTATTAACTGTTAGAAAGAGATGTGCACTTCTGTCACACATTTTTATTTTTTTAATCACTCCTAGTTTTTTTTTTTATTATTTACGGTTGATTCTTAATAGGAAATACCTGTAGCTGAGCTGCTTGAAATACTTCTTAGGGAAACAAAAATTATTTTGTGTTCTCTCATTCTAGCCTCTCTTATTTCTAGGGGTCTGAACTTTGGGCTCCAGTCCTGCAAATGCTTTTTGCTTAATGCCATTAGGCTGTGATCAGCATAGAAAAGCCACATGTGCTTTAAATGAAGCACAGGGAGACACATTCACAGAATTGGGACTTTATGACTGTACCTTTTTGGCTGTGTTGGTACTGACAGGCACCCCAAGGTAAAGATGTGACTTACAGGTTGGTACTGACAGGCACCCCAAGGTGAGATGTTCTCCTCTGACTCATTTTGGCTGAGTTTTAATAATGGACTGCTCCACACACTTCAGTCTTGGCTGGCTTTGTGGTTTGCGTGCTACATTTGTGTGCTTTTGGGTCACTGCCCTGTTTCTTTTCAGGGGGTTCTCCTTGAGTGGACCAAGCACTTCAGGGTCCGAGGAGTGCAGGGCACAGACGTGGTCAGCTCCCTGCACAGGGCCCTCCAGAAGCACCAGGCAAGTCCACTGATGGCAATTTTTAAGGTCAGCAGTAAGAAATTATTAAATCTGCCCTTCAACTAGCTTTGGATAACACCATATTTTAGTATTTTGGAAAGCTTTGCTTTTTATGTTTGATGTTATTGATAACACCAGCCAAGAAATACAAAGCATCTTTCCATATCTTGATGACTTAGTAGCGCAGAGGAAACTGCACAGCCTCAAGGGAAGGGCTTTCTGCTTGAGTGTGGTGTTGCTGCATGTTGTAGCTGAATTTCTGTGTGTTTCTGTCCCACCTGGTGGGCTCTGCTCAGGGGCTAGAGGATGTTGTCCTTTCACACAGCACAGTATCACAACACTCACACCAATGATGTGTCGCTTTTCGGGCAAATGAGGTGGGATTAGGGAAAAACAAATCCTTCAAGCAAAGAGGCTGGCGAAACACTTGAGAATTCAGAGACATTTCTACCCTCACAGGGTTGTGGGAAGAGTGTTGTAAAAGGAAGCAATGTCTTCCAACCAAGGAGTTTTCCTGAATGAGGCCTTCAAAGTCCACCCAGGGAATATGTCTGCATGCTGGTGCTTTATCACAGAGGAGGATTTCTGAGCTTTTCTCCCTGTTAATCACCCATCTTTCTGCTCTTAGGACATAGATGTTGATGTTTTGGCCCTGGTCAATGACACGGTGGGAACCATGATGACTTGTGGATATGATGACCCGCGCTGTGAAGTTGGACTCATAATTGGTAATTTTTTCTGTTCACCATGAAGGGTTTTTTCCCCTCTCATTTGTTGAATTACTACAAATCTGAAGTAGGAGGGAGTTTCACAATAGAGGAAACAGCAGAAAGAAAATGGAAAAAACAATGGTTGGATTTTCCAGCCTGGCTGCCTTCTGTAAAGCAGCTGTTTTTATGCTGATCACATTGCCATCAAATACCACAGTCCCCATTTTGTCTGGGCTCAGTTGTGACCAGCATACTAAACTTTTCTGCTGACTGTATAGAAAATTACTGTGTCTGTCCAGAGAAAGCTGAATTCCCCTCACGTCTGGTAGTTAGTACCAGCTATGCTTTCCACAGTTTCTCCATTTCATGCACTATGATGCCTTTTATTAGGCACACAGAAGTACATTTGAAAGAGAAAAAAATGTTTTTAAACAAGTCAAACCTTAGAAAAATTTCATTTTTTTTTCATTCCCTGTGAGATGATGATTTCACGGGTGCAGGTGGCCTGTGAGCATCCTGTGCCACAGGGTTATGTGTTTGTGTTTTCTTCCAAGGACAATATACTGACTTATTCCCAAACAAAAATCACACACGGAACAAATAGTGGTTTGTCCAATGCCCACAGGGACTGGCACCAATGCCTGCTACATGGAGGAGATGAGGCACATCAGCCTGGTGGAGGGGGACGAGGGCAGGATGTGCATCAACACAGAGTGGGGGGCCTTTGGGGACGATGGGGCTTTGGATGATCTCCGCACGGAGTTCGATCGGGAGCTGGATCTGGGATCTCTCAACCCTGGAAAACAACTGTGAGTGACTCCCTGTCTGAGCTCCCAGAGTGCTTTTCCAGTGTTTGCCCCATTGGAACAGGAATTGTGTTAACAGTACCTGAGATGACGTGGTGCTGGTTCTGTGTAATCCAGATCTTTCCCTGCTGGAGAGGGTGAGTGCCTTTCACAGCTCTGTGGTGCAGGCTGTTGTGGTGTGATTTCAGGGTTTACCTCAGAACCTCAGGTCCCTCTGCTGATAATTCCCTGCCAGGTGTGTCAGTCACCTCTCCTTTCCCCTCCCAGCACTGTCTGTCCTGGCATTCCAGAAGGGCATCAAGTGATTGGCAGATCCAAAGGATCCAACCCTCTACCCCTTGAGGGACATTGGGCCCTCCAGGTGTCCTTTGTCCCTTTGTCCCTCCCCTCCTGTCCCTGCTTGGTGGCTCCCTGCCCCTCTCCCCGGGGTTAAAGGAGCAGCAACCACAGGCTCAGGGAGTTTTGTTGGAGGAGTTGCTGTATTCAGAGGCCTGTGGGCCAGAATAAAGCTCTGGATCCAAACCCTCCATCAGAACCGACTCCTTTCCTTCACCATCGCCTCAAAGCTTCTCCACAGAGGGAAACCTGAGGAGTGGATCCTCTGAAGGGAAGGAGGCTCCATCCCAGCACCACCAGAGCTCCTGCAGGCCTGGAATTGTCTGCACGGGCCCAGCTGCAGCACCCAGCCAGCCAAAAATGTCTGTGGGGTGAAACACCACACACCCACAGCCCAAAGTGTCTGTGGGGTGAAACACCACACACCCAGCCAGCCCAAAGTGTCTGTGGGTGAAACACCACACACCCACAGCCCAAAGTGTCTATGGGGTGAAACATCACACACCCAGCCAGGCAAAAGTGTCTGTGGGGTGAAACACCACACATTGCACAGCCAAAAGTGTCTGTGGGGTGAAACAACACACATCCACCATGCCAAAAGTGTCTGTGGGGTGAAACACCACGCAACCACAGCCAAAAGTGTCTGTGGGGTGAAACACCACACATTGCACAGCCAAAAGTGTCTGTGGGGTGAAACATCACACACCCAGCCAGGCAAAAGTGTCTGTGGGGTGAAACACCACATAACCACAGCCAAAAGTGTCTGTGGGGTGAAACACCACACATTGCAAGCCAAAAGTGTCTGTGGGGTGAAACAACACACATCCACCATGCTAAAAGTGTCTGTGGGGTGAAACACCACAGTTGCCACTATTTGGTTCAGCACCAAGGGCCAGAGAAGCTCAACATTGTCCTGTACACAATATTGGTAAATTCCAATATAGCAGCCAAGGGATTGCTGCTGCAGCTGCCCATGGGGTGTTGAATCCAGGTGGTTGCTCTGCTTTGATGCTGTGGAGGAAAAGTTCTGGTGAACACCTCCTGAATCCTTCCTGTGCTCCATTCCAGGTTTGAGAAGATGATCAGCAGCCTGTATTTGGGGGAACTTGTGAGACTTATTCTCCTTAAAATGACCAAGGAAGGTCTGCTCTTCAATGGGAAAGTGTCAGCTGCTCTGCTTACTAAGGGCAAGATTGAAATGAAACACGTGTCTGCAATGGAAAAGTAAGAACTTGGAATACACTCTTAGTAGCCACTCACAAAGTTAGTCTTTCACTGGCACAGCAGTGATAATGAAAGTGTAGCTAAAATCTGTGAGTGCTGGGAACAATCCTGAACTGTTCAGCTTGATTTTGCTTTTGCCTAGGACTAAAGTTGGCATTTCTGTAAGTGGGAATTGGTGTAAGATAGTTTTAGCAAAGTACCACATAGCAAGTGTGCTGGTAAACCTCCCAGATGCAGGTTGTTCTAACAACCTCTCTGGAGACCTGAGTGTGTGGAACAACTGCTGCAGCTTTCAGCCTCTCTGATGTGGGGAATCCTGGGGCTGTGGAGATGCAGTACAGATTATAAATCAGCTGATGGATGACTGCATGGAAAAATGGGATTCTGATGGTCCTCACTGTCACTCCAGGAATTATTTTCTTTGTTGTATTGAATAAAGCTGTATATCTGTTCTTGTGCTCTCCTTCTTTGGACTGGTTTATCCTGTTGTCTTCTTGACCAGCTAATTGGTGTCACCAAATGCTGAACCCCAGGAATTTCAGCACTGAACCCTCTCTCCTGGGTACTTCTGGGAATGCTGTGGGAGGCACATTACTGGTTTATGGGAACCAATTATGATGCTGTCTGATAGGTTGTGTCATATTCTCCTCTCATTTCTCTTTGAGCCAAGGTATCGATTTGTGAGTTTTTGCATTTGGTGATGAATTCTCTTGTTTTGGGGGCAGGTACAAGGAAGGCCTGAGCAACACAAGAGAGATCCTCACAGAGCTGAAGCTGTTTCCCTCAGAGGAGGACTGCGTTGCTGTGCAGCACGTCTGCACCATCGTCTCCTTCCGCTCGGCCAACCTGTGCGCCGCCGCGCTGGCCGCCATCCTCACCCGCCTCAGGGACAACAAAAAGCTGCTGAGGATGAGAACCACCGTTGGCATTGATGGGGGGCTCTACAAAACACACCCCAGGTGAGCAACAAAGAGGATTTGATAATGGCTAAGAGCCTCCATCTGCCACACGTGCGTGTGGCTTTTCAGAGAACTGCCGGTTTTGCTTCAGCTTTGGGGTGAGGTCTAAGTGGCTTTGGTTTTGCAAAGCTGTCCCAGGAGCTTTAGAATTTGGAGTGGAGTTGGAGCTTTTCTGGAGAAAAGGAGACTCGGGGGTGCCCCCATCACTCTGTACAGCTCCCTGAAAGGTGCCTGTGCTCAGGTGGGGTTGGGCTCTTTCTCAGACAGCACTGACTGAACCAGAGCACACAGCCTCAAGCTGCACCAAGGGAAATATAGGTTGGATATTAGGAAAAGAGTGATAAAGTTCTGGAATGGTCTGCCTGGGGAGGTGGAGTCACCATCCCTGGGTGTGTTTAAAAACAGCCTGGATGTGGCACTCAGTGCCATGGTTTTGTTGAGGTGTTTGGCCTGGGTTGGACTCCATGATCTTTAAGGTCTCTTCCAACCTCATAAGGGAGGAGGCTCCATCCCAGCACCACCAGAGTTCCTGCAGGCCTGGCCTTGTCCCCACGGGCCCAGCTGCAGCACCCAGCCAGCCCAAAGTGTCTGTGGGGTGAAACACCACACATACAGATAGCCAAAGTGTCTGTGGGGTGAAACACCACACACCCAGCCAGCCAAAAGTGTCTGTGGGGTGAAACACCACACACCCACAGCCCAAAGTGTCTGTGGGGTGAAACACCACACACCCAGGCAGCCAAAAGTGTCTGTGGGGTGAAACACTGTGACAGTGTTCACAGGGGTCCGAGGATGAGGGAAGAGACGAAGATCTGACTCCATGTTTCAAAAGGCTGATTTATTATTTTATGATATATATTACATTAAAACTAT